TACATTGATCTTATGTTCATAATTTACTCAATATGAATAATTTTTCATGTGTAACATATAAAGTGTGTGTATTTTCTTTTTATTGTTTACATTTTTTAACAACAGAATGACCCATGATTGTAAATAAATATATGTAATAAAAGTTATTAACAAGTAAACATACATGACATGTTGACATTAATGGGACCAAGTTTATCATTTCAAATCTGATGTAAAACCTAAGACATATCTACACAAAGTAGGTGCTATGCACTTAAAGGAATGATAAACAAATATATTTCTAAAAGGAAAATCCTCTGAATTACATTTGTTAATCAGAAAAAAAGAAATGATGATGGTTACGGACACTACACACTGGCTACTTTTTCCAACACTTTTCTAAAAGTAACATACTTTTTTTGTGGATTAAAGGGTAGTCATTTCTACAGAACTTCATGAAATAAATGTTTTTTCTATCATTAGACAATACCAGAATTGTAAATAAAACAAAAATAAAGCATACTTTACCTTCAAATATACTTGAGTTCTTTAAATTAACTTTTTAGTGTATTTTATAGAATGTCATATAATAATGTCAAGTACAGATCTTTGACAAATCTACATGCTAGTATACATGGTATAAATCAATTGGAGGAAGAAAAAAAACAAGAGATTTTGAAAAATGAAAAAGATATTAAATTTTTTGACTCAGAAATAAAAAAATCCCTGGGTTACAGACACTACAAAAATAATCTGAAGATATATAAACCTTAAAATAAATCATTAAGATGAAATTCCTTAACCTTACATTACAAAAGAACTCATTTTTTGAGTTTATGACAAAATGATACCAAAAGGGGGGTTTTGCAATAAGATTTTCTGGTTTCAAATTAGTATGTCAAGGATTACTATCAGCTCAAATAATTTTACAGTTATCTGTTTTCATTTTTTTTTTTTTAATTTTCAATCAAAAGACAATGATGGTGCAGCAAAGAAGACATCATAGAACCTAGAAATTAAGTATATTTTGATGAAATAAAAATATTGATAATATCATGGTTACGGACATCATTTTTGTAGTGTCCGTTACCATATTTTCATTTATTCTGACTAAATTCTAATAAGAATGTGCTAAATTTTGTTATTGTTAAGTGTCAAATCTATAAAGAAAAGTAGCTTATTGTTTACAGTAGCTATTCTTTCTAGGAGAATAATAAGCTGCTTACGGACACTACACTTTTTTGAAAAATATTTTTTACTACTTTGAAAATTTCTAAAATATTCTGTATGTATCATATCATTTATATAACTGTATTTTATTTGACCATTTTTGGACCACTTATCTCACTGGTGTTCAAAAACTATTCAAGATAAAATCGTAAAATTTTGAATTAAATTAAAACATTCATTGTCAAATACTGAAAACAGAAAACTGGCATCCAAATGTATTAAAGTTAGCTGTAGAGCTTACATAACAAAGACTAATTGTAAATGTCCCCGTTAGTGTGTTTCACCCGTTATGGATACTGTAGTATAATATTGAAATGGCAATAATACTTTCTAATAAAAATAAGATGTTGTATGATTGCCAATGAGACAACTATCCACAAGATACCAAATGACACAGCAATTAACAATTATAGGTCACCGTACGGCCTGCACTGCCCCTTTTTGTAGATATTGGATTGCCAATAAGTATATTTGTATCGAAAACATCAGATCTCTATAAAAAAGAAATACTCCTATCTTTGTACATTATAAAGTTACCCAAGGCGTACTTAGCTAAAATTGGATTAATTAAAAAAAATGGCGATCACTGCAAATGTTTACCTTGACGTTCGGATCTGTGGATAATTTTCTTCTTTTAGGCTGACCTTTTAAGACAAACTTTCATCAATGATGGAAAAGTTGATTGTAAAATTATAAACGAGAACTATAAAAGATACCCTCACCGCAGCATAATATCCACTGTCAAAATTAATTATGGCCAGTTTATCATGGTCCCCGATACTGTGTTCAAATTTCAAAATATTTTTGTCAAGTGAAACCTTTATAATTATCTACCAATTCAAAACAAATTAAAGGGCAACACTCTTGTTCGGTACATGTCAAATTGGTCGAAATCATACTTTTCTTACAGTTTTTGATCCGTCCCATTATCATTTAATTGTAAAAGATCCTGACAAGTGGTATTTTAGTAATCATTAACCTTTTTATAGATAATATAATGGGGCATTACTCTTAAACGTTAGCAATGAACTTGTCATTTCATCCTGAAACCTAATTAGATTTTGTCAAGTGGTACTATTATCATCATCTAGAAACACAAAAAACAAACCATGACCATCCCGAATGGTAAATGAAAAAAAATATGTCCAACTGGAACTTGATCTGTATTGTATGTTCATGACATTGTATTCTAAAACTAAACTTATTTGTCAAGAAATCATTGATAGTTTGAAATAAATCAGGTTTTGAATTTCAAAAAATGCATTAGATATATGACATTTTGACAAACACTTATATTGATTATTGAGAAGATTGATTTATTTTTTTAACTTAAAGCATGTGATTAAAACGTTCAACTCTTTTTAAAGAGTTATTTCCCTTTGTGTTAATCTATGTCTTTGTCCGTTCATCTTCTTTTTCGTATGGTTTCATAAGAGAAAAGTCCGTTAATCGGGAAGACGAATGGTGCTTAGAGATCAATTTATAAAAGTTAAGTAGAATATTTTTGCATTAACATTTGATTAAAACAGTATTGAGTATCTACGTTTTTCACCAAGACAAAGAGATCATCGATAAGTTCATGAATCAAATTTTGTAAGCAATGAATAAAACTGATATGCAACAGAGTCAAAGGTGTGTAAGCATCTCTGAATACCATTGAAAGGCGGCAGAATGAGATGTGTGTTATATTTGAAAATAACTAAAAGGCGACAGAAAGAGATTCCTTTAAATTTTCATCATTGTCTTTAAGAAACTTACCATGAGAACGGAACGTGACAAGTGCATTCAATTTGATAAACTTAATGTGATGCATATTAATTATATCTTGGGGATAGGATGCAAATAATATTACAGAATACACTGTACGTTAATTAACAATTGACTCAATCAGATTATAAGTGGTTACCATCCAACTTTCGTATATTAAAATGCAGGTTTCCATTTTCCTGGTGATGAAAGGGAGTTAACAAACCAATATTAAAAGAAAACATAAATGAGCAGCATATTGAATAGCAAGTGAATATTCAGTAAAGTAATAAATGGTACGTCAATGGCATACCTATCGTTTATATATTATTAAATATGTTTGATTCGTTTTATGCTAATTCATAAGATTCACTGAATCTCGTATGTATGTTTTCAAAGGTATTTTTTTTTAGTTTTGCGCATTGTTCACTTATTGAATAAAACATTTAGTTTCTGTTCGGATGTATCCTGCTTAATGTGAACTTCAACATTAAAACAAAAACAAGAAAGAGGCGGTGGTAAATATTAGCTATGAAAAGTTGTTTTTCTTATGCATCCATAATATATTGTCACAGGAAAGTTCCGTTCATGTCTTTATTGTTATTCCGTTGTCTAGGATATAGTGTTATGATCCAGGGTTTCGCCTAGTACAACTTTCTTTTTCGCCATCCTTTTCGCCATTACAATACTTGTTTCACAACTTTTATATTTTTCGCCTTTTTGTTTGTTTTTGGTTATTTTTCAATTTGCGGTGTCGTTGTCTCACGAACATCTCGGATGTAACGTTTATTAACTATTGTGTCCTAGTGTACTTTTTATCCCACATTTCTATTTCATAATCAACATTGAAATAATTGCTCTAAATTCGAACAATAAGCTTTATTTGCATTTATGGATACTGTAAAACTACATTATAAAGACAATAACACTTTCGTACGGCCTCCTTATTTGTCAATTTTGGATGGCCAATAATAATATTTGTATCGAAAACATCAGATCATTATAAAAAAAATAGCAATGTAAAGTTACCCTAGGTGTACTTAGATAAAAGTGTATTGAATAAAAATAGTACTGGCCGATGACAATCACTGCAACTATTTTGACGTTGAAATCTGTGGTAAAGTGACCTTTATTTGGATTTATCTTTTAAGAAAAACTTTTAATCGCATCAATATTGAATTGTAAAAGATCCTGCCAGGTGGTATTTCAGTGATCATGAACCTTTCTATGGATAATATAATGGGGAGTTACTCTTAAACAGTAGCACTGAACATGGCCTTTCGTCATCAAACCCAATCAGATTTTGTCAAGTAGTACTATTATTATCATCTAGAAACTCAAAATTAAACCATGATCACCACGAACGGTAAAAGAATAATGTCAAATTCAAACGTGACCTATATTTTTTGTCCATAACATTGTGTTTTTTATAACTAAAAAACATTTATAAAGAAATCATTTGATAGTTTGGAATAAATCAGGTCCTGAAATTTAAAAGTGTTTAGTCTATGAAAACACGCAACCGTCGTAAAAATTGTGCCTCAAATCCCTGTCTTATATCAAAAACAATTCAAAAAAAAAATTATTTTGTCAACGTTAAACGCCTTATCGATTCTCATTTCGGACTGACTAATTTTTACGAGAAAAAGATGTCATCATAATTCCTAGATGTTTGCCTTCTAAATCGTTCTTCCTTTACATTGATGTGACAAATAAAAAAAAACACCGGTGATTTACTAAGTAGTCTATATCTGGATTATATATTTCTAATAAAAAAAAAACAATTGTAGTATGTAACTGCTGGTGTCATAATAAACAATGTATATTTATATAAAGAAAAAACTATGAATGAATGTTTAAAGAAAAACAATGAATGCACGTATACAGAAGATAATCAACGACATATATCAATACAAATTATTCAAAACTGCATATGTTGCTAATGAGCTAACCTGTAAATAATCAGTATAATTAACATATTATGTCATTTGATGGTGTATATATTATGATTACTAATGGATGGATATTGTTTTTTATCTATGCAGGATGCAATCAAGACTTCAACTGATTTCTATTTTCCTCGCTATGGTAAGTTTTTTTGAAATTTGATTTTCACATTCACAACATTGAATTGAGATTATATGGGATGTACTTCTTTGACGATAATGTAATGTTTACTTAAGTTGGATATATTAAAGATAAACCTATAGGGAAATAAAAGAAATATAGACAAGAGAATAAACATGTAACTGGAAGTAATAGTTTATAAGATTTTTATACATTTTTTTAAACAAAAAATTATCAGGAAATAGCAGAAATCAAGACAAATGTTAATTTCAAAACTGACATTAAAAATGTATTCCTTCAGATTGAATTTTGTGAGGATAAGTATTCAAGTTAAATCACCTGCATGATAAATTTATTCTGACTTGAATGTGAATACTTTTTTTTGTCACTTTATACAAATAATTTAGAATACATGATTAAGGTTTGCATCATCAAAAGTAATGGACTTGAATCGTTAACTTATCTGTGAAGTAGTGGACACAGGTTACGTTATAGTATCTACCAGGAATAGAATTTGTTAAATTTGTTGAGATCATTCCAATTTGCGATCAAAAAATTGACACAGAGAAATCTAAAAGCACATGTTACAAATATATCGATAACGGTGAGCTATAAATGCTTATAACCACGTTATTCGTGTGGATAGTCTCACTGTCAATCCTCTCCTTATTTTTATAAAGAATAATTGAGGTAAGAATTTTAAATTAAGGAATACAAATAAAACACAATACAATCGAATGATGCGATATGATAGCCATTGAATGAACTATGAGTCCAATTGCAACAAATTCAAAGAACTATAGGTCTTCAACAATGAGCAAACACAAACCGTATAGTTAGGTATGAAAGGCCCTATCATGATAAAATGAAAAACAGTTCATCCGACTAAATCATCAGCTTAATTATTGACAAATCAATAAACTAAAACAAAATATGATACTTAATTACAAAGTCATAACAGGCGCATATTATTTTAGCAGGGTTAAAATTGAGAATGGAAATAGGGAATGTGTCAAAGAGACAACAACCCGACATAAGAGCAGAAAACAGCCGAAGTCCACCAATGGGTCTTCAACACAGCGAGAAAATCTCGCACCCGGAGGCGTGCTTCAGCTGGCTCCTAAACAAAAATGTTAACTAGTTCAATGAAAATGGACGCCACACCAAACTTTAAAACATATAAAGAAAATAAAATTTACAAACATACAAGACTAACAAAGGCCAGAGGCTCCTGACTTGGGTCAGGCGAAAAAATGCGGCAAGGTTAAACATGTTTTGTGAGATCTCAACCCTCCCCCTGTACCTCTAGCAAATGTAGAATAAACAAACACACAGTAAAACTCAGTTTAAAAGAAGTCCGAGTCCGATGTCAGACTAGGTAATAAAAAAAAACTAAGCAAAATGATAATGATACAATCAACAAAGGATACAAGCAGTTACTGACATGCCAACTCCAGACCTCAATTAAACTGATTGAAAGATTATGTCTTCATCATATGAAAATCAAGCAATATCCCTCCAGGTAGGGTTTTAGTATCATACCATCATAACATATATGAGAAGAACATAACCCGTATCATGCCAACAACTGGTTTTAGAATAAATATGTTAATTTCCGATGCAAAGACCCTATGAGTGAATCAATATTAATAACGAAATATGCCATCTTTAATGAACTGACAACAATATCGTAACTATAACTTCTGAATAAGCCTGTTTAAAGTTGTTTGTTGGTGACCCTCTACTAAAATTGAACAGTGGTTTAATTGTACAACACATAGACAAAATGACAAAGTCCGTTTGAAACGGCTTGACTCAACAATTCGGACAAAACAAACTTATATAAAGACAGAAAAAGACACAAAGTACTGAAAGCTAGATAAAAGCCAGTAACAACCAATAAATGATAAAAAAATCAGCTTCTTTCAGACTATAGTATAAATCAATTACATCCAACAGATTCAGTGTAAAGACGTCATCAATATTCTAAGAAATGAACGACCTTGCGGAATGCTACTTTATATTATTGATCGCAACAAATACAACATACCAAGTAGTTACACTGGTAAACTAATTTTGAACTGTAAGTGATTTTTATCCAAACACCTCTTAAAAGACATCAATATAATTATTAAGTCATGTTCAGTCTTTCAGTTAGTTTTCAAATTTATTCACTGTGGTAAATTTAGAACTGTTCAGCTGAATATTTACTGAACATATCTGAACAATAAATCAAACTCTTAACAAGACTAAACGTTTCTAGTTTAAGACTTATGAGACGATGTTTAAATGAAAATGACCGTTTGAGACTAACATTCATTTACTAGTGATACATACAATAACGTGAAGTTTAAGTGAGAAAACGTTCGGAATAAGGAATAAGGAATTCTTCAAACTCCAAAATAGAAATTGACAAACACATGATCATTATTAGTTACGATACGGCTATGAACCATTTATATGTAATGCAATTTGACATGATACTTATATTATTGCAGAAAATTGGTGTTATATCGAGTATTAATATCTGCGACCTACCAAAAGTTGTTGGTTCATGTCATGCACGGATAAAAAGATATCATTATGACGTACAAACTGATCAGTGTAAAAGGTTCAAATATAGTGGCTGTGAGGGCAACAATAATAATTTCAAAACGAGACGAGGTTGTGCTACTGCGTGTCATAAACGAGGTAATTTGTATGTTATTGTTTAGATAACGATAAAGTTGTGTCTGTGTGTAAATATGCAGTAAACATCTAATAAGGCATATCATATTTATGTGCACATAAACCTCGCCACATTCTGTATGTACCTGTTCCAAGTCAGAAGCCTGTATTTTAGTAGTTGTCGTCATTTGTTGCTGTATATCATAGCTGTTTTTTCGTTTATTATGCTGCACATAAATTAGGCCATACGTTTTCTTGTTTGAATTGTTTTACAATTGTCATTTCGGGGCCTTTTATAGCTTACTATGCGGTATGGGTCTAACTAATTGTTGAAGACCTATAGTTGATTAGCTATACGTCATTTTGTCTCTTGTTGAGAGTTGGCAATCATACCACATCTTCTTGTTATATATAATAAATTGAATCTATAATATTATTTTCCCCAAAACACATTTCGCTGGTAGATACGTTTTACATTATTCCATGCTTACATGTATATGATATGATGTTCCGTAGCTTATACCGACGATGAAATCTTGTGAATATTGTATGTTGTTGACAGAAACGAATACCGATAGAAAGATATTGTATATGACAGAAGACGATGGTTATAGTATGCTTCGTTGTATGCATTTAATAGTTGCACAGTCATGCTGATATCGAAGATGACGAAACTTGCTATATATTTTTTGCAGTAAGCACATGCCTATGGTAATATTTTTGCATGCACATTTGTATACACATGATAATGGTAAGATGCTTTGAATGCCAAAGGCAGGAGTTTGTAAAATTATACGATATCTAATTGATTTGACATGTTTAGCCGTATTGAATTTAATCTATGTCTGATATTTTAGTGTGTACATTACCAAAGTTGATTGGAGAAGGTCAGTCATCTGTCCCTAGATGGTTTTACAATCCCACATCAATGTTGTGTGAAAAGTTTATGTATGGTGGAATACACGGCAACGAGAACAAGTTTAGAACAAAAAGACGATGTGAGCGACTTTGTAATGGCGTTAGTGAGTACAATTTGATTAGTTTTTTAATCTATTTGTTATAAATATGGATTTAACAAAAATGAGAGTTAACGAAACAGCAACCCTAGAAAACAAGAAAATAAAAAAATAACATTTGAATAGTAACATCTGGTCTTAAAAGCAACTAGATTAAATAGTTATACAAAATAAAGCAAGCACGTGGACACTAATCTATTGAGGTATCAACAATCTTAATATTTTAAAGAAAGTTAGCATTTTAAAAAGCTGTTGATGTGAGTTGCTTATGTATCTTAATACTTGCTGAGATTTTTTTCCAAATTTGAAGTTTTTTTTTCTTGATTAGGTAGATGGATTTATACTGTATGCATGTACATAAAGGAGATGTCGACGAGAACACAAACCAACTACACCAACTACAAAATTACCAAACGACACATATAAATACTGCCGTAATTACATTTTGCATAGTACATGTACATCCTCAAAATAAAGTTGATTATTTAGAGTAGGCCAACATATCTTCTTTCGTGACAAGGTGTGATATTATCTCGTGTCCAAGGATCAAAAGATAACATGATTTTTTAGGGAAAACATATTAATTTATTAAAGTATTCAGAGAAAGTTGAACGTGTACTCGCTCAACAATAATTTAACTTGACATTTTAGTTGAGTACAAAGCAACACAAAGGTATGCATTTTGAGAATAATTGTTCTTGTGAGTAAAATATGTATGATAGTTTATTTCCGGATGTTTGATCGCTACTGTTTGTACATGTTGATTGAGACTTACACATATATCAAAATCTGTTATTCTCAATATTTGTAGAGGACAATCCATGTAAACCACATCCAGGATGTCCTCGGTCCCCACCAGGTATTTGTCGGAGCTCTATATATGACATCATCAATGGAGTGAAATGTTTCGCTGGATGCACATATCCAAGGTGTAAAAAGGTCAGTAGATTTTGTATATTATACATGTTACTGAAATTTATTGCACTTTGATGCAGAACATAGTATGTTGGACACCATTGCAGTATATGATACAGGAATGCACAATTGTTTACTACATAATTTGATACGTGTACAGATAATTTTAAACCAAGACAAGACAGAGAAACAAACAACAGTACACAAAACAACATAGAAAACCAAAGATTGAGCAACACGAAACCCACCAAAAACTTGGGGTGATCTCAGGTGTTCCGGAAGGTTAAGCAAATTCTGCTCCACATGCTATATATATATATATAGTAAAGGTAGGGTAAAAGCGAGAGTTCTTAGTTACATTTTGCATAAGCCTACGTTGATATATCTTTTAACATACTATATTCCAGTTTGTTTACTGACATTGGTGCAAATTGGATTTTTTAGGAGTGTTTTTCTTATTTTATTATAAACTGAGGGTGTTTTTTAGGGTTCATGTCCTACTATCCCTCCAGTCCTTCCATGTAATTCAAGATGCAACCTAGGAAACGACACCCAATGTCCGGGTGATCAACTTTGTTGCCAACAACGATGTTGCCGGGATCCAATTTTAGGTAAGTAAAAATGTTTCATATTTGTGATAAGTTTTTACAACCAGCCCTATTAGTCTACACTCATATGCTGAATTGATATTGATTTTCACGTTTTTTTAGTAAATTAAATGTTTATATAAAACTTTCAAATCTTTCAAAAATCAAAGTTTTACTAAATGATAAATGACTATAGCCAAATTGGCACACCTTTCCTTAATTTTGTTGTTAAATTAGTTTTGCTAATTATATAAATTGTTAGGTGTCTTTCCGTTTTGACTCGAGCGTCTTCGGTGAGTCTTGTTTATACGAAACGAGCGTTTTGTGAACACAATGATATCCTGCTATTTGTGATGAGATTTTTTTAACCATACATGGTAGTTATGTAGTATGTTTTTGATTTCTCTTGCGTACTGAAAAAAGTAGAATAATAAAAATACCGAACCCCAAGGAACACTCAAATCAAAAAATCCCTTATCAAATGACAAAATAAAAAGCTCAAACACATCAAATAAATGGAAAACAACTGTCATATTCCTGAGTTGGTACAGGAATTTCGTTATGTAGAAAATGGTGGATTAAACCTGGTGGTATAGCTAGCGAGACAAAGAACTAAGAACAATAATGCTATTTTAAATCGTATGTAATGGTTTACGACGGACACCCCAACAGGTCGATGGCATATAAACTATTTCAAGGTGTTTCCATAGGATTTGTCGTATGTTATGAAAAATGAAATGATTGAAGAAGTTCTATGACTTATCCCCTCTTTTGTGAATGTAGAATACCGGTAAAGAAACGTAAATCAGTAAAAATTATTATTATCTTTACTTAAATTTTTATTCTGTTTATTAATTTATTTTCATTGATTTAATTTCATTTTCTTATTGTTCTTGGTCTTCTTAACGCAAAAGACAATATAAACGTATCTTGTGTATGTTTTTACTGAAAATGAAATCAAAATCTTCGGACTTCATCGCCCATCAGCGTTTCCCTATCCATCTACCGTAGCTCTTCTTTGTTCGTATTTTAAACTAGTTTGTATCGTTAGCGTTATTCCTAACAAAGCATTTATTTCATTTTCAGAACCAAAGAGGGGTGATTGCCCCGGAGATCCAAAACCAAGGAATTGCTTTTTAAGAACCTCCGAATGTCATTCAGATAGTCAATGTAAAGGGGAACGGAAATGTTGCAGATTTTCATGTCATAAATTTTGTGTTGATCCTAAAGATGAACTTGAAGTTATTATGATTAATAATGTTGAAAATTAAAATCATAATCTTTAGAACTCGGAATATGTATTCATTTTACATTAAAACGATCATGTATTTCTCTTTTTCTCTTGCCTTTCGATTTGTGATAATTAAATTATATTACTTACTATACGCCTTTTTTCGGTACATCTTCAGTCAGAAGCTACAATTACTGAACATGTGCACAAATAGGGAGGGATATAATATCCATCAATACTGACAGCAATAAAAAATAACCCATCAAAATACAAATTAAAACGCATTTTCTTTTAACTATTTCAACTCCTGTTCTTTAAATTGTCCCATGTCATCCTTTGGGAAGTACTGTGGATTCATTATTATTCGTTAGATACCAATTTTCGTTTATTTTTGTGGTTACCCGGGAACCACAAATTCCAATGTACAACTAATTACAAATTTTCTATAAGAATGTATGCAGATTTTGGTAAAACCACGAAACCGAATATCCACGAAAATGCAAGTTTTCCTCAATCAAAAATTGGTACACACGAAAATAAATGAATCCACAGTATATAAATAAATCAAATTCGCTATGTGACATCTGCAAATAAATAAAGTGTCGCCTTAGTCATTAAGTGGACACCATCGTACACTAACTTTAAGCCAAAACTTTAAATACAAGTTCAAATCCACAGTAACAGTACACAACTAGTTAATGGATCTTTGCAAGACGTCAATATTTTGAATAATTTTAATGAAACTTCCGTCAATGTAAATCATACTACACTCTGCCCGCAAGGTATCAACAACTGTTTTGTTACTTTTGACTATATAAAAAGACTGACTCCACTTTTAGAGAAGGAGCGGAACTGATTTGATCTAAGAACATATTTTTATTTAGAGTTTAGTTTAAATTTAAAAGTCAGTGTTCGGGAGGATTTCACTTTATCCTATTCCATCTTTTTTATAATTTTTATTTACTATTTAGATGTTTAGGAGTTTTCTGGATGAAAAAAATTTTTTTTACATCTGTTATCAATTTTAATTAGATTTGATAAGTTATATAAAAGAGAAGAATAATCAAAATATGTTTTTTTTTGTATGCCTTTCGATTATTAACGCCCTGGATTGCTGTCAATGGTATTGTCCTGCAGGTAGTAGTCAATACACTCAAAATGTTCCAAAAGAGTACCAGTTAAAAGGTCAGCTTTCGTCTATTGACCATTATTTCCATGCTCTCTCTGATCTCGGTTAATATACAAAGGTCATCATGAGGCATTTCTTTTAATAGCAGAGATGCTTGAAAAAAGAGAGGTGAAAGATACCAGAGGGACATTCAAACTCATAAGTCGAAAACAAACTGACAACGCCATGAAGAAAAAAGCAAGACCAACAGACAAACAATGATACACAAATCACAACATAGAAAACTAAAGACTGAGCAACACGAACTCTACGGGGTGATCTCAGGTGCTCCGGAACGGTAAGCAGATCCTGCTCCACACTTGGCACCCGTCGTATTGCTCATGTTTAATTCGGTAGGTCACATTTGGGAAAATAGGGACGGGATTGTGGTTACGACATTAGGAACATATCCGCTATCATTTGAGAAACGGATATTTCATAACGGTCAATCAACATGTGATGGCGTCCGTAAAACTTATGAAGGGATAATTTCAACTTCACCATTTGGAACTCTTGGTTTAATAGCTTCCTTGTGAGCAGCGATTGGCTATCATACCAGATCTTCCTATTTTAAATGGAATTTTATAAGATTTCAAAATGGCCGTACATGTAATTTTATCATTTTTTGTTATTCAGTTATTGTGTCTGGTATGTTTTGGATATGGAACATCAGTTCGATGAAATATACTTTGAGGCAGTGCTAACATGTCCGATTTATGTCATTGACACTAAATTTCATTACAAATATGTTTTCTGCGATACAGAAACTCCTGCAGTGTGTATGGTATTGATGTAGGCACTTTCTTCACACGCACAGCATTCATGTTTTACAGTGCGGTTATGCAGTTGTAAACTTAGATTATTCTGGCTGCCAGGCCATCTGCTTAATAACCATGCTCGCCGTACAGAAGCAAATGAAGTTGCTCCGAAAACAGTAAACGTCTTACAAAACAACCATCAATCAAGTGATAACATGTTGACTTTTACAACTAACTAAAAAAACAAATTGGAAGAGTTGATCCTGCTTTCTTTCATAAAAAAGAATGGCCAACGTAGATTCAAGTATCTTTTCTTAGGGAGGGATCAATCCTACTTTGTAAAAAATCACACTGATTCAAACAAAAAATTCTCTGAAACTGACATATCAAGTTGCTTGCTTTCTTGTTTGACAATATATTTGTTACGTTTGGAGGACGTGTTTTTCAACAAACAATCGGCATTCCCATTGGAACAAACTGTGCCCCTCTTCTTGCCGACTTGTTCCTTTTTTCATATGAGGATAACTTCGTACAGGAACTTCTTATGAACAAAGAAAAGAAGTAAGCAGTATCCTTTAATTTTACTTTCCGCTATATAGATGATGTTCTCTCACTAAATAATTTTAAAAATGGTGACTGTGTTGAACGCATCTATCCCTTCGAACTTGAGATAAATGATACAACAGATACAGTTAAGTCTGCCTCATATGACGACTTGAATCTAGAAATTGACAATGAGGGTCGGTTAAAAACAAAACTTTACGACAAAAGAGATGATTCCAGCTTCCTAATTGTGAACCTTCCATTTCTATGTACGGAGTATATATTTCCCAGTTGATACGATATTCCAGGGCTTGTTTTTTTCTATCATGATTTCTTTGATAGAGAGTTGCTGTTCACAAGAAAGCTATTAAGCAAGGTTTCAAAGTGGTGAAGTTGAAATCATCCCTTCGTTAGTGTTACAGACTCCATCACGTGTTGGTTGACCGTTATGGAATATCCGTTTCACAGATGATACCGGATATGTTCCTAATGTCGAAACTACAATCCAGTCCCCTTTTCCCGAATATGACCTACCGAATTAGACTTAATACCGGGTTTGTACTTAGATGAGCAACACGACGGGTGCCATGTGTGGAGCAGGATCTGCTTACCCTTCCGGAGCACCTGAGATCACCCCGAGTTTTTGGTTGGGTTCTTGTTGCTCAGTCTTTAGTTTTCTATGTTTTGTTTTGTGTACTATTGTTTGTCTGTTGGTCTTTTTCTTTTTAGCCATGGTGTTGTCAGTTTATTTCGACTTATCAGTTTGAATGCCCCTCTGGTATCTTTCGCCTCTATTTTAAATTTCTTAAATACACCATTATTTCTGAATTGTATCACTTTTATTGAGATATTTTGTTTTATTTTATTTGACAGGGTAAAAGGAATAAGAAGTTTGAAGGTAGTTGATGCATCAGTGATGAGAAATCTTCCATCTGGTAACACACATCCTCCAACTGTGATGATTGCTGAAAAGGCTGCATATATCTTATTAAACGAGCACGGAAATATTAAATAATTATAAATTGAAAAAATATAAATGTTGATTGTTTTAAGTTTGTGCATTAGATGAAAAGTATGAACAACAATGATTCATTGGCACAGAATTAACCCAATCGGAATATGCTGTCTTCTGTCAAAAATACTTTTGGTGGAAGCACAAAGAAAAGAAAAGCAAACATGAATGATTTGGGATATATATGTTTGTATTTGGACAAAAGAAGCCGATATAACAAATGTTCAGCAAATTCTATATGTTGTACAACGAAACGTTCTTCAAAGATTTATAAAAGAGGGACGAAAGATACCAGAGGGACAGTCAAACTCA